CCTCTAAGGTCTTAACATCCAAATTTAAAACAAGCTAGAAAATGAAACAAATAGATGGCATTTCTTTAAATGAAAGGTAATTGAAAACATTTGTCAGTATCACCCACAGTCGATACAAGTGGGAAAGATTTGATTTTCTCCAGTTATTTTATGGTTTGTTGAGTAAGCAGATTGCACTCCAAATCTGTGGTGTTGCAGAATAAATCTTCCTCCAGATTCTTTTTCTCTGCAATCTTAGGCAAATGAACTTGAGTGATACATGAACTCGGGACTGTCTATTGCCCAATTCCAATGTACGTATTTAGTTAGAAGCTTTGAGGTTGGCACCACACCCCTGGTGTAGGACCTGAACTGGAATAATTTAGCTTAGGCTAATTTCCCATGTTCCAGGAAATGTCTTTTGCAAATGACAAAAGCCTTTAACTAAACCAAAGCTTAATTAAATCCATAAAAAAATCACTTTATGCACAACTGAATGCAGGTGAATAATCCATATAAATATTTTTTGAAAGAAAATTCCACCCTCTAAGATTATTTTTACTGCTCTCAAGTTCCTACAAAATGTCAGAAACATTGTCTGTGGCTCTGCTTGTCTAACAGCATCTAACCAAACCATCACCTTTAAATTCAGTATAAACCCTAAACCAAGAGTCATAAAGCCCATAGCATTATAGTTACCTAAGTGAGAGACTTTACTTATTTGATTTAGAATCTTTGCTATAGGTCAGCATTTTCTCAACCTTTTAAACATTTTAAAATGTGTGGGCTTCAAGAATTCCTAACAAGCATCTCAAAATGAGCAAGTTTGAGAAACATTTTATATATACTCAAAAAAATAAAGGGAACACCTAAACAACACAATGTAACTCCAAGTCAATCACACTTCTGTGAAATCAAACTGTCTACTTAGGTAGCAACACTGATTGACAATCAATTTCACATGCTGTTGTGCAAATGGAAGAGACAACAGGTGGAAAGCATAGGCAGTTAGCAAGACATCCCCAATAAAGGAATGGTTCTGCAGGTGGTGACCACAGACCACTTCTCAGTTCCTATGCTTTCTGGCTGATCGTTTGGTCACTTTTGAATGCTGGCGGTGCTTTCACTCTTGCGGTAGCATGAGATGGAGTCTACAACCTACACAAGTGGCTCAGGTAGTGCAGCTCATCCAGGATGGCACATCAGTGCGAGCTGTGGCAAGAAGGTTTGCTGTGTCTGCTCGCATAGTGTCCAGAGCGTGGAGGCGCTACCAGGAGACATACCAGTACATCAGGAGATGTGGAGGAGGTGGTAGGAGGGCAACAACCCAGCATCAGGACCGCTACCTCCACCGTTGTGCAAGGAGGGACAGGAGGAGCACTGCCAGAGCCCTGAAAAATGACCTCCAGCAGGCCACAAATGTGCATGTGGCTGCTCAAACGGTCAGAAACAGATTCCATGAGGGTGGTATGAGTGTAACTCCAAATCCAGACCTCCATGGGTTGCTAAATTTGATTTCCATTGATAATTTTTGTGTGATTTTGTTGTCAGCACATTCAATTGTCCATCTAATCCTGCTTTCCAGGGCCCAGCCAGATATTTTAGGGAAGTAGAGTAACAGAGAATGGTGATATCTTATCCTTTCCTGTTCTTTTGACTTCTATTCTCATGACTAATTAAGTAAGAAAAAGAAAGAAAAGAGGTCAAATGGAAAGGCTAAAAGAAAAGAAAATAGAAAAGAAAAAGCTACAATAAGTAGCTTTTTTTACAGAAGTTGTAAGCACAATTATAAACGTTCTCTTATAACATGCCTCTCTCTTTTTTGATAATCAGGTCTAACCATCAAATTATAAGTCATAAGTTCATTTATTACTGACTGGAAACTCCTTATAGACTTTTTAAGTGAAAAAGAAAAAAAGTATTCTTTTTTTCTCTTGATCAAAGAAGTTAAGTCTATCTCAGCAAGTTCCATCTTTTTTTACCAGCCATTCCCCCATCTTTCCATATTTGTGTATAAAATAATCTTGCTGCAATTGTCATGTACAAAAACAAGACAATGTACCTTGAGTTGTCTATGAAAAAATACTGCAAATACTGTACAAAAAATAATGTATATTTCAATCCTTTCAGCCACATTTTTCCTATTGTTCCATCAGCCCCCTTTATCATAAATTCTTTCACTAGTAATTCTGCCAGTAAAAGTGCATACTATAATCAGGTTCATCATTTGTATACAATTCTGTTTCAAACTTAGTCTCACAACCTTCAAAACAAATTCTTTTGCCTATTTTTAAATCTAATAATTGTAGATAAGAGAACCACTGACAACTATGTCCCTCTGCCATCAGTTGTTCTCTTGATTTTATCTGGTATTTCCTTTCACAGAATTCTAGCATGTCACAATAAGAAAGTCATTTTTGTTTGCTTATTATTTTTCAACCTTAAAATGCTTCTTGGCTGAGAACCATAGAGGTGTTTCTAGGCACAGCCCAAGTTTATTCCATATTATTCAATATGGCACATATAATCAATTTTAAAAATCCACATTAACCTTGACTTTGTTGTACCAGAAATATCCATGCCCCCCAAATCTCAGGTTGTGTCCTTTTCATTACAAAAAAAATAGTTTCTCAGCAGCACCAAACAAGTTCATTCAAACCAATTAGCAAAATACAACTTCAAAGGGGTAAACTTAATTGGATAAACTCATCATCATTCCTTTGCATCTTGTATCACCTTTTATTTGACTCATGGCTTTTTTAAAATTCCTTTCACACAAATTTAGACACGTCCTTCTGCCATTGTTTAATCCTTTTTGTTTCTCACAGGGTTTTGGTAGATCTCCATCAATAATGATTTGTGCTTCCTGTGAAGTGTAAACAATCTTATTCATTTTCAACCTTGAACAAGGAAGTTCAAATTCTGCACCTGCTCCAAATATTCTAAATTGTTGAAAACATTTCTAAGATTGTTCCTTTAGGTAAACATCCACATTGATCCTATGAATAAATCCTGGCAAAATTATTTTCTCTCAGCTTAAATAGTTACAAATAACTTGCTGTCATTATTCAATAATGATTTTGATCTATGGTTTCTTGTTAAAGTCAAATCTTGCCCTTCTTTACGTATGTGTTTTGTTGATCTCTTTCCAGCTCTCTGGCATCTTTCCTCCCTGTAAGGAAAGTTCATCATATTCTATAAAGTCATCCTCAAAATATTTATAATCCGTCTGGTACAGGCACCTTTCCTAATTTAATGTTTTTATAACTTCAGATTTGCCTGTGTTCCTTGGTAATCCTTGGTAAATTGTTTCTTTAGGTATTCATCTATTTTCTCTAGTAAGATGTCACTTCTTTTATGTATAAATTGAGAGTAATATTAATGGATGTTTTTTGTACAGCTGCATTATCCATTAATAGTTTATTTCCCTCATGTAATTTGAATACCTTCTTTTTTCGTTTTGTATTTTACATGCTAGCTACTTCCATGGTTTGCCAACTCAATTTTTTGCCGTGTATAACTCATTTTTATTTCCATTTTTCTTACTTTTAACATAGGTAATTGCTATTGTAATAGTTTGATTTATTGAGAAATAACTTCTCTGGAGATTTCTTTAGTTCTTCTTTTCTGTTATTCAAAATAGTTTGTTTTCATTTCTTAAGTTCATTATTGTATTGTATAAAATAACCCCCAATAAAAGCTTTACTTGCATCCCAAACCTATTCTTAAATCAATACATTTGTTATTTTTTTTAAAAAAAACATTTTATTTTTACAAACCTCCACTATTGCTTCTATTAACACAAGTAATCCATAATGAAGTTGAAAGTTTAAAAAAATCAATATTAGTAACATCTGGCTCAGTATCATCCCTATCATTTTCCTATTGTCTCAACCTTCTGATGAGGTTTCTGTGTAAACTTCTGACATCTATATTTGACTGTCCTCCAATTCTTCTTTGAATTTTTCTAGAAATCCCCTCACCTGCTGGACAGCATTTAGTCATAACCTCTGCTGTTTGAAAGTAAAAACCACTTAGTTTGCTCTCATTGGGGTCTTTTTCTGCTTTAATCTCAATTTTAAAAAAACTTTTTTTCTTTTACACAAAATTATAATAGGAATTTTAAAAGAACCTTCTTTATTATTTATCTTCACTCTTGTATTAAAACGTAGCCATAGAATTTGATCCCATGTCTTCTTCCTGACAAAGTGCACCAAAACACCAAGACAAAGTGCACCTTGGAGCATCCCTTGGCCTTGCAAAATTATATAGTTCATCAAGTTCTGCATCAGTATCCTCCTTTTCCCAATCCAAAAAAATTTCCAAGTCTTTAATAATCTTTTCTCTAGCTTCATCAGAATCCTCTGAGATTGCTATAAATCTCAGATAAAATTCCTTCTCTCTCAATTCCAATAGAGCTAGATTATTTCTTCTACAGAGTTTTTCATTTTATTAACTTCTTTAATCGCCTCTTCTTTACAAGTCTTTCATCCTTTTTTTTTTCCAAAAGCCATAATAGAAGATCCTAGTGATGATTTATGGTGAATTAGATGTCCTGTAGGACTGGGGACAGCAATGCAGGAAAAATATGCAACTAGATCAGTAGAGATCAGCAGACACAGTATTTCTGGATATTGTGAGATCCCAGGCTTACACTCTGTCAGCTTCTCCTTTTTTGTATGTGGTTGGATCATGAGGGATTTCAACCACAACCATAATTGTAGCCAATGGTACAGTGTCTCATTTCTTAACCACTTTGAGATATATGGTAATTAAGCTAACGAGAAATTTTCTAATTCCAAGATAAGATTCCACTTGGTGAGTTACAATTATTTCCAGATTACAACGGGATAAAGAAGAAAAGAGATTTTAAGAACTTCTTTTTGTATAAAGCTTAATAAGGAATCAGTATAAGAAAGTTTAAAAAAAGATAAAAGGGACATTTATTTTGAAATATTTTTTGTGTGTGAAAGTGCTTTTAAACAAATTAGAATTAAAATAGACAAATGAACCAGACCTTTATGGGAATGTTTTTTGTTTATTATTAACAAGTGCAAACAATTGGTGAATTTTACAAAACAAAATATAATGGTAATATGAGCCAGACTGTGATGTTGATTGTAACTATGATGATATTGATTGTGATGATGCTGACTGTAACATTAGAGTGCCATTAGAGATGAAAATATTAAAGGCACAGGAAGAACAAAAGAGAAAGAAAAGGGGAAGCTTGCCTTTTCTTTTCCCCTTGTTTAAGACACTTTCCTTTTTGGATTATAATATTATAACGACAATCAGAAAAGTGGTGAGAATGGAGGGGAGGAGAGGATTACTAGAGCCACCTATAGGGAAAATAATTACAGCAGATTTGGTTCAGAAAATGGTTCGGGAATTGAGAAATAAATTAGCTGAATCACTTGATGCTAAACTGACTAAATCACTTGAGAACAGAAATAATCTACTACTACATATATCAGCAAGCATGCAACATACAAGTCATTCTTTTGCACATAAAAAAAGCTTCAGCTATAAAAAAAAAACCTTTAGTGCCTACATTTTTTTTAAATCTTTGAGCATGTTCTTAACCAGATGCACTTCACTGCTATAGAGCGACCAGCATCGTTACATGACAACCCCCGTCTTGCCATCTCAGAATCCTGCGGACAAGTCTTGATAAGGACAAGCAGCAATGACAGGAGGACATGGAGGAAGAGAGCTCCCATTTGTTGAGCACCAACTATCAACCACTACTACAGGACTGATCTTCTGCCTTCCCATTCAGTATACACATTTTCTCAATTTCTAATAGTGTTCATAACCGCTATGTAGAAGTCCAACTTCTAATTTTCTACCAGAAAAAGAAGAGAGCTTCAACTGCACCGGAGCTAAGGAGAAGGGGAAATGACTATAAGCCAATCATGAGTTGTTACTCATTCTAAGAAAGGAATTTTCTACTTGGATACCAGTCTGTCCTTTCAATCTTCCTAAATCCTCTTCCAACCAAGAACGCATGGATTGGGATGTTTTATCAGCTGCTAAGGAGAGAGACAGAAAACGGAGAAGAGAGAAAGAAACTTTTGCAGAGAAGGAGTCGAAAAGACATAGAAAAGCAGCTTCCAAGGTCGGGGTCGGGGTCGGGGGTGGACTTTTGCCATATGCCTTGAATATATTGGTTCAAAAGACAATACTTAAGCATCCTGAACACATTGCTTGGTAGTTATGTGGCTGTGCAAAACATTTGAAAGGGGGCTTTGCAAAATGAATTATCCATTCTCAAAGCATGAAGCAGCTGCAATACAGCTGAGTTTGGCTGTTCTGAGGGGCAACCCTGACTGTTCACATCTCATGTATGCACAGAAAGCCCATCTCATTCTACTATCAGCCAAGCCAAGCAGCTGTGTATACACACACCTGAGCAGAGAACCAGGAAAAACCTTCAAAACTGTGGTACCTGGCCTTTCAGAGGACACAGCTGCTTTAATGTTTCACTTGTGCCAATGCACTTTGCGAAGCCCCCTCCCCTGTTTCATGCTTTGCACAGTCCTAATAGCTAGTAAACAGATCAAATATATGACTAGGTTGTTGGAAAAAGGAGAAAAGAAAGGTCAGGGAAAACAATTTTCAGCCAGTCTTGTGGCTTCCATCACCAGTCCGAATTTTTCGAGCCAAGATGCTCTCCTTGGCCACTTTCTTGCAGTTACTGGCCAAGCCAAGAAAGCACATAAGATCAATAAAACCAGTAGTGAAATTCCACCGCCAGCCATATTCACTTGTTGAGTAATCAAAGGGGAAAGTATGATGGTAATTATGGAAGCCTTCCCCTAAAGAGAGAGAGAAAAAAAAAACAAGAAAGAAATGGTAAGAAACAAAGCCCATTTTCCCCTCCTTTCCCTAGGACAGTGATGGCGAACCTATGGCACGCGTGCCGCAGGTGGCACACAGAGCCATTTGTGCCGGCACGTGAGGCCGCAGGCAAACTTACCTCACTGCACATGCGCACACCTCACAGCTGATTTTCGGCTGGTTTGAGGCCTTTTTCGGCCCCCCGGGCTTGAGGAAAGCCTCTGCAGCCTGAAAAATAGGCCCGTTTCATCACTTACTGTATTTCCGGAAATACCGGAAGTGAGGAAACGGGCCTATTTTTCAGGCTGCATTCCTCAAGTCCGGGAGGCCGAAAAAGGCCTCAAACAGGCCAAAAACCAGCTGGGAGGCGCAGTGCAGGTAAGGGGGTGGGGGATTGCATGCGCATGTGCAGGGGCGTGGGGGGGGGCGCACGCATTGCCTTCTGGGTGCTGGCATGCAAGCGCACAAGCACACGCACAATTTTTGCCACAGGAGCCCAAAAGTTTAGCCACCGACGCCCTAAGGAGAAGCCTTTGGGAAGTAGCCAACTCTGCTCGGTATTTCCATTCTTGTGACATAGGAAATGCATTTATTAGAAACTGGAATATATTACAGCTTCCTGCATTGTAGTTATTTATTCACAACATTTACTAGCTCCTCTTCATTATAAAATGTTGCTAAAGCCAGGGGAGTAGCATCCTACACCATTTAAAAGAAAAGCAAAACAAAAGATGGTAACAACCACAGCAACAACTCATCCAAAACCCTGAGCAGGAAAGGAAGATGGTGGTTTGTGCGAAAAGCTTACACTTCTGAACAAAGAGGGAGTTTTGCAATTTGGAAAAATGTCTCTTGTTTTCCCAGAAGAAAGCAATCCCCAGGCAGCACCACCAAAAGCACAGTGTTGCGATGGGAGCAAAGGGTTTTCTGATTTCCCCATCACTGTTTTAGGCCTTCCTGAGATTTGCACCAGTGATACCCTTCTACTGTTGCATCTATTGTTGCCCTACTGCCACCATTAACTTTAACTAATTAATTAACTAAGCATTAATACAGATTTAAACAGTTCATCTTTTATGCATAGCACCACAGCACTAACTGGGTTAAGCGTGATTCTTTTTCAGTCAGTTTTAAGTGGTGACTTACTCCTGGAATTATGATTAGAACATAGAATCACAGGGCTGGAAAAGACCTCAGAGAGGTCTATCTAGTCCACCCCCAGCTCAAGGCAGGAAACCTTATACCCTCCTGGTCAAATGATTGGTCCAGTCTATTCTTGAAAACGCCAGTGATTGAGTTTTCAATTCCAGGAGGCAAGCTGTTCCACTGGTTAATTGTTCTGTCAGAAAATCTCTCCTTATTTCTAGATTGGATCTCTCTTTAACAATCTTCTACCCATTACTTCTTGTCCTGCCCTCACTGAAAGCAAGATTTCCACTGCCAGATTTACATATGTTCACAATAAAATTTTGATATCAAATCTATGTTTCTTTTTTTTTTTTTAAAAAAAAGTCCAAACTCAGGAAACCTCTAGCTCATAAATCTTCCTCTGTTTCCAGGGAAAAGCTCCCCTCTCCCCAAGCTCAGATAAGTAACTGATTTGGGGGCGGGCAGGGCCTGTTATCTGAAAGCTTTCCTAAAAGCCTCTATTTCTATCAGCGGAGGCTGTGTTACAACCAAATCCCCCCTGGATGATGCTGAGAAAAAAGGAGCTTATGTCTACCTTCTTTTAAAACCATCTCACAACATCCAAGGATCACTGTGGCACCAAAGACTGCTTGAAGGCCAGCTGCTGCACACCAGAAGGGAATTTTCAAAGGGGATGAGAGGAAGGAAGAGAGCTCTCGCCGTGTTACCATCCCTGCTTTCCAATGCTTGAGGGGAAAAAAAGTCCGTCCAATATTTTATTTTGGGCAGGGCAAAACCTTAAAATCTAGATAAGCTTTTTAAGGCTCTCCTTTCAGCTTTTAAAACAACTCCACCTTGAATTGGATCCATTTTTCTCGTTTCTTGCTGAAACAGACTTAGCCTGCTTAAGCCACTCATTTCATCACAGAAGCCAACCTGCCTATTCCAAGGACGTGAAGTCCCTTAGCCTGAGTGAAATGCTGAACGGGAATTACTTGAAAAGGCTGTAAACGGAATAGGTGATCTTCTCCAATAATGTCATCTACCCACCCCTCACACTAAAACAGGACTTTAACATATCATCCACTGGGCAGGATTCAGATCTGCATTTCCAATCTGGAGGAAATCATAAATCTTTCTCTTGGCTCCATTGGAAAAAGGCTCTGCAGATGAAAAAAGCCCTTGGTCACAATGGAGAATCTTTTAAAACCTGCCACTGTGTGAGAGGAGGCCAAACTATCCAAGCAATCAAGGGAAGGAAGGATTAGGTCTTTCCCATCCTTTCTAGAGTGCTCTTGATCTACGTGAGGTCCCTGATGGAGAATAAATTAAAACCAGAGCTGAAGCACACAATCAATCCCATCTCATGGAACCTGGCAGGCTTCTTACACCTTACGTACCCAAAGCTCCAAAGACCACAAAGTGATTTTCTCTGGGGTTGATGTGGCGATCATATGGCCGATTGCCGTACATGTGTGCCACACTGTTCACCAGCCAACTGGCGTTGAGGGTTGACGTGTAGCGGAGAATAGTCAACAGGAAGCTGGTGAGAAAGGTTTCTCCCCAAAAATACCAAGGGACAAAGGAAGGAAGCACAAAGCACAGGAGGACCACCGAGATCTTGTAATGCCTGAGAAGAAAAAATGATGTATTATATCAAAGAATGAAGCAGCATGGAAATCATAGCAGCGCTCTAATTTCTACATTTTCAGTTAAGAAACTATTTGCGATACTGCTCTGGATGGCAAAAATTAGCATCTAGTAGCACCTTTTCCAATTAACAAATTTTATTAAAAGGCATAAACTTTCATGCTACCAGATTTCTGATTTTTTTTTTTTTTTTGCCACTATGCAGTAACACAGCTTTCCTCTCCAAGACTGATAAGTTTCATTCAAAAGCGGTGAAGGTTGAAGTTCAAAATTATGATTGTAAATAATCTGAAATCCTGTCCTTGGACTCATGGAGTTGAACACTGTCATGATAATATGTTGAACATCCTGGAAATTAGAGGTTTAATTTTGGTTGATCGCTTTCTAAACTGATAAATTATCTTGATGCATATACAACTGTGATATACTGTAGGAAATGGAAAATATGCAGCAAATAAAAAGAATAATTCAACAGAAGAATTATAATGGCTCAGACATTTTAGTCTCTAGTCAAGCAATAAATATTTGTGCTCAATTACCAATTCAACAGCAATTGCAGTAGATAATGAAAAGAATTCAGCTGACATTATAATTTAGTCACCGCCAAGAACTTTTCCCAGATCCCTTTCAGTTCCTATGCCTGCAATAACCTCTTGCTCACCTCCTCTGGAACATCACAACTTGGTCAGCTTTCAGGTCGGACAAGTCCAGCTTCTGTCCTTTTTCAATGACATCTGGGTGTTTGCGAACCAACAACCAGCCAATATGAGCAAAGAAAAAGCCACGTTTTGCATTGTGGGGATCCGCATCCGTCTCAGAGAATTTGTGGTGCACACGGTGGTCTCTGGCCCACTCATAAATATCATTCTAGATGAAGCACAAAGAGAATAAATTGAACAATGTTTAAAAGTGGAACGGACTTACTTCCTGCCTATCCCCAAAGAAGAAGGAAGAAGGAAAAAATATGTTTATTAATTCTTTACTCTATGGTAAACAAAAAGTATTTTGGTTTTTAATTTTTAACTTTTTATTCTATTTTGTTTTTTGAACTTATAAACTTTTATTGTATTGGAAGCTGCCCAGAGCCACTGTACAGAGAGATGGGCGACATAGAAATCCAATGAACAATAATTTGCATTTGACCTCACAGGATGATTTTGGCTGAGAGTTGGTGACATTTGAGACAGCAATGGCTGGAAGTCTTCAGCAGCCATGTTTTGTTCACATACTCAGACAAAATAGTTTTGAAGATTGGCATGAATTCTGATGGAATGTAAATGATAGTTTATAGCTAGCCCTGAGCCTAAATTAATTAAAAACTGAGTGAGCAAAACAAAATGCAAACTAGAAAATTGTTTATAACATTACAGCAGAAAGTTTTCATGTTCTGCATGGATGCAAAGTTCTGTATGGAATTCCAGGGCCGTGCAGCTGGTCTGCCATACTTCCTACCTGAAAAGCCATGGAGTTGATTATGGCCAAGAATATTCGAAGAGGTAAACTAGCTTTGTAAGACCGGTGACTCCAAAGCCGATGTGCTCCAGCTGTAACTCCAAGACCAGCCAATATGAAGCACAAAAAAGCTGTAGAAGAAAAAGGGGAGGGAGAAAACTGTCAAGAGCATATAATTGATATCTTAGTAAAAGTCAGGTATAGCTTCTATCACCCCAGAAAGATCCAATTAAAAAACTATCACTGTAACGAAGGGGCCATTTATACATCTGGGACTGAGAGAAAGTGTAGAAATCTAGGCTATCTTCAAACCCCAGTTGGCTCTTTAGGATCGTCATCAAGGAAATCCCTAATAACTAGATAAGAGCTATTCAAAAGCAAAATTGTAGGTGGCCAGATTTCCCATTTCAAAATGAAGATTCCCTGAATATATTACACTTTCATTACTTTATTATTCTCAAAGATAGAGGCAGACTTCATATGTATGTGAGTAATATGGAGACACACCTGAATTGATGACAACCATTTCTGGTCGCTTTTCAAAGCTCTTCCAGGAAAAGTCATTATACTTGTCATTATTTCCCGCAATGATTACATAGGCTATTCCCAGAGCTAGTTTCCTAGAGTGTTCTCAGATTCATTCTTGATAAACTGAAATGATGCCACTGGGATATCTTTTATCTTCCCAGAAGAAACATTTAATAAGACAATCTACATAATATGGCACCTTGAACATGAACCCTTGCAGTACATTTTTCAGGGAAATGACTTAGAACTGCATCTTGTTCATTTCAAAAGGTCTTTTGTGAGAACTCAACTTCTGCTTCCATTATAGGAAAAAAGAGTGCTACATAAATAGGAAATAAAAGGAAGAACATTTGGTTGGGCTATTATTCCCAAATCTTGCCTATATCTTAGAAGTCAACCTTTAAGTAGAAAATTGTTGCCTTAAATTCCATTCTGAACATATTGGCCATGATTCCCTCCTAGCAATCCGTACTGGATTTTCAAATATTCTCCAGATCTTGTGGTATATTTTCATAGCCAAACTCCTTGTACTTCGTATCAAGTACAGTGTGGTGAAATGGTCAGCTATTGTTGTGAAAGAAGGGATAATGGATGCTCAGTTATGACTACTAATTCCAGTTGACTGTACATCCTCTATTATAAAGGGCAGCCCTTTATTTCAGAAAACTGTTTTTTAGATTTTGCTCTTGAATTGTAGGCATAGTTATAAACACATATTTTATCCTTATGAACCTCTTTCAGATTTGCCCCTTTGTCGGGTTTGCCCTTTATTTTTTTCCCATGAAATATGGCCGTTATAGTATTAGACCCTGATGAAGACATCAGAAAGAACGGAGGATCAGAAAGAGGATCTGTCAAAAATTGTTAGGGGCGAGAGGGTGGGAAAGCATCGATATTTTGGAAACGTGTCTACCGTAAGTCTCGGGAGAAGTCTATAGATGCTATGTTTGCACAGGGTGCAGGCAACAGGAGAGCGAAAGACCCGGTTTGGAAGACTGAGCTGAGGTCTAAAAACTAAAACAAAGATACATGGGTGGAACTTTTGCTCAAGGATCTCCTTCCCCCTCCAGCTGGCAAGGGCCATTCCCTCCAATCCATCCTCTCTCCTCTCAATGTCTCTGTCTTCCGATTCCATACGCACATTAAAAACACAGCAGGCTTTGTTCCCTCCCTGTCCTTGCAATGCCTGCTAGTCTCTGCGTTCCACTCCTGCTCTGATGTTGCATTCTTTCTCTGCCCGATGAATTCTCTAATTCGCCATTCCCCTCTTCCTTGATACCCCTAAATGCAGCCTCTTCGTCTTTCAGATCCTCCTAAGTTACTTCCATTTCTCTGTCAGTTTCCATATCTCTGTCAATCAATGTAGTTTCCTTCTCCTACTTTTTACTTTTACCGAATAATGTAAAATGTAAAAATAAGATTACCAAACTGTTGGCCACCTGGATTGCCTTTTGATCAGAAATGTTCAAATATTCAAAGCACAGGGTCATTTTCCATGGATACAGTTATGACTGTGGGTGTCTGCTGGCTGTTTTTAATGCATGTCAACAGAGCTCAGACTTGGAGCAGCCAAGGAAAAAAGAACCAGCCTTAACTGAACGTTCGACTGTTCTTGCCAGTGATATAAAAAAATTATAAAGGAGAAAATAGATAGGCTGACTTTCTATCTAGCCCTGTATTTAGAATGCTACATGGAGTCAAAGAAGGTTGCAATTAAGATATTCTATACCATTATGACTGTTTTAATTTCTACTTCTCAAGTAAATTCATTCATTTCTCAGTTTGAATTGGCTTTTGATCAATTGTCCAAACACATAACTAGATGGAATTTCTTCAGTTGGTTCATGTGCTATTCACTCCTATCCAATGTACCCCCGACTTCCTCCCTGTACTTTGATCTTCAGGGGACAAAATGAAAAAGTGGGGGTGGAAGGAAAGCCCTGGAAGGTTTTCTTCAACTCTATCTCAAGTGGGTTGTACCCCTTCCACCTGGACAGGCTTTCATCAGAACATGCCCTTATACCCGCCCCCCCTTCTGCATTCCCTCCTTGGCTATCCTTTTAAAAAATCTGAATAAATTGATTAGCATTACTAGTTATATTTACTGTTTGCCTGTTGATTATATGAGACATTAAACTGCTAAAATATAAAATGAAAAATGTATGTATTATATCTTCTTCTTTATATGTAGTTATGTATTTATTTATACAAATATTTATATGCCGCCAACACTCCAGACTCCTGGGAGACTGCACATCTCACCAGTGAGAAATACCATACTTGCATTTTAGATAACCTCTGTTTAAAATCAGATCATTTAAGAACTGCCCTCTGAAAACATGAGTACAATGCTCTGAGTGGAGAGGAACATCATCGCAGACAGCAAGTCTTTTCTTTGTCCGCTCCCTCAACTAACACTTTCTCCCAACCAACATAAGTTTATAAAACTTGGGCGAAGCACTTCTCCATTGAGACATTTTAGGGAGCAGGTTTTCAAAAATGATTTTTAAAAGACAAATCACAAACATTTATGCCTCTATTTTAGTCTCCGACCACCTTCTGAAGAACTTAGGATGGTTTATCAGCTGGGAAACAGTATTTCATGAATCATTTAACTACCTTCCTTATCCTAGGAAGGATGCTGGATACTTTCCAGAATTATCCTGGAATATTCTATTCTGAACGCCTGATTTCTTGCAGTGAACCCCGAAGGAAATATGAATCAAATCACTGGAATGTTTGCTTGGTTATTGACTATGGCCCTCCAGATGTTGATAATATTATATCCAAGAGAAATAGGGAAACAGTAGTCTATGTGATGGTCCATATTGATCAGCAGGCATTATTCAAGGTCCCCTTCTTAAACTCTACATAGTAGGCCTAGTTTTCTTGCACATAGCAAAATCCAAAGCACTGAATATTTCTTACGAAGTTGGATATGTTTTTGAATTTAGAGCATTCACGTGACTGCCCAGAGCAGCCTGTTTCTAAATTCATATGGCTGTGACCCTCCCTCGGTATATTGGGGAGATGTTCAGAGGTCAGAAGAGAGGACAGTAACTAATTGAAAACAGCAGAAGCCTACGTACCAAAGACAATAAGTTGTCCCATTTTTAGACAACCATTTTTGTCCAGGATGGTATAAAAACTCCTGCCTTGGGCTGGGGGTGGATTAAAAGACTTCCAAGATCCCTTAGAGTCCTAGGTAAATAAAGGTAGTTTTAGCTTACCCCACGCCAAAGTGAGTAGCTTTGCAGACGGTATGAACGAGATGGCATACAGGGCAGTTAGATGGAGAAGAGACATGAGAATAATGTTCCTCCAAACGTATATTTTTGCAGGCTTAGGACCCTCTTTCTCATGATAAGTCTCATCAAAAATGTCATCTGTCATCTCTCTTTCTGAATCCATTTGCTCATAAATGGGACGGACTTTTTCCGAATGAGTTACACCGTTCTGGGTAATGTGAGTAAAGGCAGGCATGGTAGAAAAGTCTGGAGTAATCTGGCAAATAAAGAAAACAAACAAAGTTACACACAAAGTCCTGCGTTGACCAAAACCCAATAATATCCTCCTCTTTTCTAGGTTCTTCATTTAAACTCTTAAAAGTTGGCACTTGTTTACAAAGCAATGAAATGCTTGCATCTTGTATGGCTAGACAAGGATGGGCAATTTTTGTTCTGTTAAATAAATAAAAGGGCACTGTTTGCATTATAACTTACAGAGTTTGCTAGATACCCAACAGTAATTGCAAATAAAGCTCTATAAGATAAAAACTTTTGAGGAGGGTGGGGCTTGAGCAGCAGCAAAAAGACGGTTTTCTTGGGGCTCCGAGAAAGCCACCGATACCCCCATGGCTAGACGGTCCCAGTGGACCCGAACCGTCCTGGTGAGACGGTAAGCAGAAGGAATGCATCCTGACGATCCCAGGGACATCGCAAAGTCCCGGGTAGATCCAGGAAAGCTCTACAGTCCTGCAGCGGTGGGAAGTAGCCATTTATCACGAGCCGCTAAGTAGCTGTGCCAGCCTCGGAACGGAAGAGGAAAAGAAAGAAAGAAGATGGTATGTCGGTTCGGGTGAGAAATTTTTATTTTAAAAATAAATAAATAAAGGAGTACACCAAATAAAAGAATTATTAAAGAAAGGCAGAAGACAGAAAAGTTAAGGATAGCGGCGAATGGCAAGGAACTATCAATTTTATTTGGATTTTTTATTCTTTGGGGGGTGGGGGGAAAGGATTACTTTGTCTTGCTTTTTTGCTTAAAGGAGGTTTGGACAATGTAGGTCTTCAGGTTTTCTATGCAGAATGACTACACATTTGTAGCAGATAAATATCCAAAAATCTGAAACGCAGTATTTTAACTCCAATTTGCTCCTTAATATGCATAGCAGAAATCAAATCTAAGGTATAAAGAAACTGAAGAAGCAAATCCCACTGAAATCAACTTCTCGGCCACATTGTAGTTTTATTTATTAAAGTTGCGTGCAAGTTGCAGCAAAGAAATCCAAATGGTATATCCTCAGTAATATACATCAGCCTCCTTCTAATTTAACCAGGAGTTGGCCAGTTGTATAATAAATACTATTATATTGGCTTAGTTGATATCCACAAGTTGAGCTGGATATGGGTTTATCAAAGTGATAAACTCTTGGCTGGAAATTATGGTACCATGATTTCCAGGAAGACCAGTACTAAGGTGGATGGACGGTGGATGGATGGTGATGGTTGCATAATTGGAATATCTGATGAGTCTTAAATTAGGATCAATCAAGCCAGATAAGAAAGGACAAAAACAAGTCAAAAAAAAAGGCCAAAAGGTAACTGGATTTTCTTGTTTTTTTTCTTTTGAAAACATTTCGCTTCTCATCCAAGAAGCTTCTTCAGTTCTAACTTTTTCAATGGGAAAAAAAAAAGAGAAAGTTCAGTTGCCTTTTCGAAAAAGCACCTTTCAGACAACCATGATCTACATGATTGTGAATTTCCATAGACATTAGATCAAAAAAAGCACTGACAGACTCCACAAATGTGCCTATGAAGTCAGTAGGTGTTGAAGACAAGACTTCCTCTTTTATCACCTGACTAGAGAAACCTTTGTTTCTGTACTTATTATTTTTATTCACTTCAATTGATACCTCACTTCAAAACATTAAGACAAGTTTTTTTAAAAAATAATAATAATTAATTTGCTTGTGAACAGTTGAGCCTAGAAGAATGCTGCCATAAGCCTCTCAGAGTCATTCAGATGGGCAGCTATGGAAGCTGAATGGATGAATGAATGAATATGAAAAAAGAATGTCTCTCCTCACATTATTGTTAGATATTGAAATGAGATGCAGAAGTTACTATTCATCAGATCAAGCAGAAAAGGGATGTTAGATTGCATCAAGCTGGCTTGGGAAGAAGATGAAAACAAACATTAATCTCTCAGCTTTAAGTTAAAATTATAGAGAAAACTATTTCCATCCAAAGCAAGAAGCAGAATTCTTTGCAAGTAGAAAACCAGAAAGGTTGTATTTAGGTTGACTTTGTTTTAACAAACTGGAGAAAATGTACTATATTACATGTAAAGGGAAATTAAATTTGAATTAATCAGGACTACAAACCAGTGCTTTTCAAACTTGGCAACTTTAAGATGTAGGGATTTCAACTCCCAGAATTCCTCAACCAGCATGCTGGGAGTTGAGGTGAACACATCTTAAAATTGCCAGTCTGAAAAAGGGTGTTCTACACATTTATCTGGAGGGAAGCCCCATGGAATTCAACAGGTCTTACTTTTGGACACACAGAGTAACTGATTCTTTAGAGAAACTTTATTGATCTAGTCATTTGAGCATATCAAAAATATAAAACTAATACACTAAATTATGCCCAGGGCTGTTGGGAAACCGCATTCATTGCCAGCCTTCTTCCTTTGCTTTGCTTCTTTCTGGCTGTCATGAGTAAGGGGTGTGTGTGTGTGTGTGTGTGTGTGTGTGTGTGTGTAAGGGGAAAATGTATGGGAAGTGACCTGAAAGTTTTTACAAACTAATATTGTATAAACTGAGGAGGGCTTCTATTTCTTGCTTAGCTTTCTCTTCTCAACTGCAAACCTTTATCTGAGTAAGCCAAGGTCAACTAATCATCACCACCTGAAGATGTCCACATGGTGAAGTTCACAACTTTTAATTGGAAGAACCGTTTGAACTATTGGGGGTGGGAACGTTTCAATCCCTTGATATATGTGACGTACGTGCCTATTTCCTCAGATTCAGAATTCTCTTGTTGCTACCACTTGATTTCCAGCAAAAGATATCTTTTCTCTAATTATAAGAGTCTATGTATTTCTTTCTTGGATTTTGAACGGAACACCAGCTGACATTCATCTTTAAGAGACAGTAAAGTGTTGTTATTCGGAAAAGATGAGTGATGCTATGTAACTACACGGTACTGTAGTTTAAAATTTTAGACTGGATCCTTTTTTGCCCCAAGGCCTCCTTCAGGTCAGGAAAACTGGTGCCAGTGCTGGGCGTGGTCAAATGAAAGGGAGAAAACTCAGTCTCCACACCTAGCAGGTGAACAGGCTGTTCTCCCTTCTCAGCAAAGGTAGCAGGGCTGGGGCAAAGCCTCAGAGGGCCAAACAGAAAGGTTTAGCCGTCTATTTTCAGTTCAGGGGACATAGTTGCTGGTTGTAGCAACGAGCAACATGGGCACCACTTTACTCTTGCCCGTTTCTCTTTGGCACAGGGATGTCATTAAGAAAGAGCCTGGCTTCTCAAGCTTGTCTTAGATTTAAACGATCAGGGGTCTTACTTTAATTATAAGATTCTGGTCTAATGTGATTTTTTTTTTAAAAAAAAAATCCTAGCCATAAACCCCAGGGCACAATGCAAGTCTTCTTGGTAAGGATGTGGCCATTCTCGCGTGGGGCTGCGGGCTCCCTCAGTGGGCCACACTTCAGAAATTCAAGGTAGCCTTTTCCTCTTTTCCTTTCCCCTGAGATTTCTTTGCAAACGGTCAGGAGGCAGCTGGGAAAAGCAGGGCGAGTAACCAATTCTTCGACACTCCCCCCCCCCCCCCCCCCCAACCCCGCCAAACCCCCCGGCGCGCCAAGAAGGGCCGACGCCGGAGCATCCTCAACGGGCAGGCCCTCCAAGGGGGCTGGTGGGCACCCACCCACCCACCCAGCCTGGCAGCTTCCCAAAAAGAAAACCAGCGCCTGCCTCACCCCCGCGCAGCCCCCCTCCCAGCAATAGCGTCAGATCGGCCCGGGGGAGAGGGGGAGAGCCCCCTCCCCGCTGCGGCGTGGATTCACCCTCGGGGGAGCCGGGCGCCTTTGCCCAGCCACTGCGAAGGCAAAGCCCGGCGGCAAGCATCCTTCCGCTGGGAAAAGGACACTCGCCGGGGGTGGGGGGGGGGGGGGGTGGGGTCTGCAATGGAGACACCTGCGCCCCCCCCCCCCGTTCCCCGCCCGTCGCCTGCGGGCGGAGGGGGAGTCGGGGGGAGTCGGGGTGGGGGGGGGGGGGGCGCTGTCTCTGGAAGGCTCCGGGGCGGCCCGAGACGATGGGCGCGGAGAAAAAGGGGCTCCCCTCGCCGGCTAGGCACCCAAGGGAAAGGCAGATACCTCGTCCTGCAAAAACTGCGAAGGCGTCGAAAGGGCCCCGGTCGGCAGGCGCAGCTGGAGCTCCTTCGCCCGGAACGGCGGCGAGAGGAGGCGCGGCTCTTTTCTTTTCTTTTTTTTCCGGCTTTCCCCGCAGCCCCCTCGGTCCTCGCCTGGGATGCCGGGTGCGGAGCCTGCGCTTAATGCTCTCCCTTCCTTCCTTCCCCAAGGAATTTAAACGGCCGGCCACGACCTACAGTAACCCGCCGCTTGGCTGGCTGCTATCCCGCGCGACCTTGGGCAAGGAAAGGGGCGGCGGAGCAGGGATGCTGCGCGTGCCGGGCGGGTGGTTGCCGGGGGGCGGGGGGGGCGGTAGCCGGTGACGCTGCCACGGGGGGGGGGGGGGGGGGCGGGCGGGCGGGGATTGGCTGGCGGGACTTTGGTGCCACCGGTGCCTCCTCGGCATTGGCTGCCCGCAATCTGCTGTTGGACGGCGGCGCGGTCCCCGGCTCTTCCCCGCGCTTCTCCCCTGGCTGGCTCAACCCCCCCGCGACCGGGCTGGAAGGGAGTGGC